TTGTGGGTGCTCTATTCACTTTGCACACTCGGCTGAAGGCTGGGCTTCAAAATACACCTCTGTCCAGACGGAAGTCAAAAACAAAGAAAGAAAAAAGCCAAATTGTTCTTGTACGTGTGTTTTACCTTTTTTTACATAGCTCAGGTGCATTTCATAGTGACTCTGGACAAACTAAAGAATTCCTGGGTGGTGCAAATGGTTAATGCACTCAGCTGCTAACCACAAGGTTTGTGATTTGATTCCACCCAGAGGTGCCCTGGAAAAAAGGCCTGGAGATTACTGCTGAAAAATCAGCACTGAAAACCCTGTGGAGCATTGTTCTACTCTAACACACATGGGATTGCCATGAGTTGGAGCCAACCCTACAACAGCTGGCTCTGGACAAACCAAAGGCAAACAGATTGGTCAAGAATTTGCTTTTTTGCCTTTAAACAACTTCTCACTGTCTGAGAGATGCAGTGTTAAGTGCACTGTACAGCGTCCCTCGGGTCAAATTCTGCTCCTTCAGTAGATTGTCTCTGGTCCGTCTGGACAAACGAGTCTTCTGGTAGTTTGTGTGACTCTGCCGTGAGCACGTTGTGTGCATGTCTGAGTGAAGTCAGCACGTCCCGTCCGATGGGCCAGTGCACCCTTCAGCGGATGTTCGGTCATGCCTGGATCAAGTGAACTTGTGTCTAACTAACACAGAAGGGCTGAGACTCAAGCACGGACGGAGAGCCAAGGGCTTACCTTTGCAGAGGGAGGGCACCCAAGATCCAGATTCAGGTGGACACCACACCTGCTGTGACTGTTTCCAGATAGTTGTCCTCAGGTGGGTGGTGCTCCTCTCTGGGTAGGCTGTTCTCCAGGGAGGACTCCTCAGCCTGAAGCCTGATCCACTAAACTGTGAGCAAACTGTTAAGTTGGATGAATTATAATGAAACAGGATAATATAATCTTTCCTCTGGACTTATTGTCCTCTGAGGCTTTGTGTAAGGATTAAAGTGGATTCCTGGGCACCATTGCCCCGTGCACCTGTTGACACGCTGACCCTCAACACTCCCTGTGGTTCTGTCCACTAAACCCCTTTCACGGGTGAGTTTCCCTTAAAGACATATGGCACGGGTCAAAGATTAATTGTGTCTTCATTTTTATCCTTCATCATCTGGGGAGGAGAGGGACTCTGGGAAGTATTTATAGTTACCTTTCTTTTATAGAACAGAGAATACAAGACACCAATATTCTCTGTGAGGGCATGTCCCTGAATGACGTGACCAGTGAGTCTTCTCTCCCCTCTCTGCATACAGACATGGCTTTCCCTGGTCTCAACTCCCATGACGCCTCTATCCCCCTTCACCTGTGAAGGACTCACGCTGGCCCCTGGTCTTCCCTGTGCCTACTGTTGTTCTGGTTCTGGTTCTTATGTACCAAACTCACCAAAGCTGAGGTTACCTTCCATGGAGATCTTCATCTTGGGGGCAGACTTGGCCTTTCCAGAAAGCTTGTATGTTTGTCCTAGAAAACAGTTCAGGACAAGATGACTGGGATTATGACAGAGGATTGGGACCCCGGGGAAGCCAAGACAAACAGCTCAGGAATCTGTATGTGAGGAACAGGTCACATGGGGCTGTCTGCACTTGATCAGAGACCAAGACTGCGACCCCAAGTCAGGCAGAATCACTAGATTCCAGAATGCACATTTGGTTTGCTTACTTCAAATGCCCTCTGCTCTTTTCCCTATTTTTTTAAAATTAATTTTCCCCTAAGTGCTTCATTGTAAAATTTATATCAGTCTGGTTCAGTTTTAGAACAGATTTTTCAAGAAACATTGAAGATTTTATCCACCTATTAAGATTTTAACTCAAAACCATTTGCTTAGTGTTACTTACAGTACATATCAATTATTTAAACTTAATATTAAAAGCAAATTGAAATGTGAAAATTGGTCAATGTATTTTAAAATCAATGTCACTTAATGATAAGCCAATAGTGAATAGATTTTTAATATATCAAGATCTAGCCAGTAATTGAAACTATTTCATGAACTCCATCTACACTGCATAGCATGTAACATGAACTATTGAAAGCTTTTAGCAAAATATGCAAGATGAGTATAGACAGGTACCTTTTAGTCATGATTCTCTTTGTTTATTTGGCATGCATCCCACCTTAAAATGATGTCATTGCAATTGTGGTTACACCTCAGGTCTTCATGGGGGTTATAAATTGAACCTCTAGTAGGTTTCACTATCTGGAACGTCCTATACACCACGGCCATATCTCTGTTGCTTAAGGGACACCCCAACATTCTATTCATGTCATCACACTTCTTCAAAGCCAGCCACATAGCTCTGCTCATCTCCCTGATCATGGTATGACCTTCGCGCCGTCCTTTCTGGGAACATTGTGGCCAGAGACGTTCTTCTGACTCAGAGAAATCTTAGTCTTCCTTCAAAAGCTACCTGAACCCTCACCTCTTCTGGAACCCCTTCCGAGTCACCTCTCTCCTCTGACTCCTGTAGGGCCAGTTGTCTGGGCTTCTTGCTTAATATTTATCTCTTACTATGTTGTATCATTGGAGTCCCTGGGTGGTGCAAATGGTTAAGGTACTCAGCTGCTAACTGAAAGGTTGGAGGTTGAAGTCCACCAAGAGACACCTCGGAGAACTGCTTGACAATCTACTTCCGAGAATTAGCCATTGAAAACCCTATGGAGCACAGTTGTACTGTAAGACCCATGGGGTTGCCATGAGTCAGAGTTGACTCCACTGCAGCTGGTATGGTCTTTGCATGTTGTGTGGTTAAGTAACATTCGTGAATGAGTTCTTCTACCCTCTCTAGACTGTAAGTTCATTTGTGTTCTTCTTTGTGTCTTCAGCACATTCCACTGCCCCTTGCACACAAGAAGTCAAAAGAATCTTTTCTAATTGATCCAAATGTGTAGCCGAAATGCATTGCACAATTTAATGAAGTACATCATGTGTTTCACATTGCTTTATTAAGTAAAAAGCCCATGGCATTCACGGCATTAGCATTGTCTGTACTAAACATTTTCACACACTCCGGAAAATTACAACATATCGTGATCTGTAATTCCATTTAGGGATTAATTAACATAGCTGTATTTTTCCCCATGTGAAGAAATTTCTTTTTCTTATTTAGTACAGCTCTGTGAGTTAGGTAGTGCCATTCCACTTTTGCAGAAGAGGAAACCTAAGAAAGTATATGTTCCTATTGGATTTACATATGGCAGCACTGGTGGATGTCTTCAGATGCATTCCTCAGCAATGTTTCTGTCTACTTCTTGGAATATTTGCCCGTCATATTTCTAGTAAGATAATGTTATTAATGCAACTCTTAAAGTCAAAGAATCGATTCTGAAGTATATGGCAACGTGGTGCTTGGGAATAAGAAGCCTCAGATCTTCTTTGGAATTGTCATTGTTGTTGTTACATTGCTGTTGAGTAGGATCCGATTCATGGATACCCTACATACAACAGAAGGAAACGTTGCCAAGTCCTGTGCCATCTCCGTGATCACTGGTGTGTTTGAGTCCATTGCTGTGGCTGTTGTGTCAATCCATCTCACTGAGCGTTTCCCTCATTTTAGCTGACCCTCTGCTTTGCCAGCCATGATATCATTTTCTAGCCATTGGTGTTTCCTGATGTTGTTAGGTGCTATTGAGTCAGTTCCAACTCATAATGATGCTGTGCACAATAGAAGGAAACACTGCCCTGTCCTGCGCCATCCTCACAATTGTTGCTGTGTATGACCAATTGTTGCAGCCGCTATGTCAGTCCCTCTTGTTGAGGGTCTTCCTCTTTCGCTGACCCTCTGCCTTACCAAGCATGATGTCCTACTTCAGGGACTGGTCCCTGCTGATATCAAGCCCAAAGTACGTGAGACAAAATCTCACTATCCTTGGCTTCTAAGGAGGTAGTAGCATATTACCAAGAGCCGATGGTACTGAAGAAGTCCAAGCTGCATTAAAGGCATTGGCAAGAAACGAGGCTCCAGGAATCGACATATTACCAAGTTAGATGTTTCAACAAACGGATGCAACAAACGAAGAAGAATTGGAGCATCTGAGTTATCGTGTTGGCGAAGAATATTGAATATACCATGAGCTGCCAGAAGAACGAACAAGTCTGTCTTACCTGATGACTTGTGCAGAATAAGTGAGATGGAAAGTCTTGCTGTCCTCGTTTCTAAGGATCGTTCTGGTTGTATTTCTTCTAAGACTTATTTGTTCATTCTTCTGGAAGTAGGGAAAGTATAATTCATGAACAGATAACCTGATAGCTACCACTACCATATGGTTATAGTAGAAATAATATGGACATTTGGAACGTGGCTTTTGCACAGTCTGGGGGAGTCGTTTAAAGTCTGCAAGCATTGCTGCTCAGCCATGTCTGCAGCTTCCAGTTCTGCTCGCGTATCTGTCTGTTCCCATAGCAACACCGCGGACTGAGACAACTGCACACAATAGTGAGGTAACAGGAAAATTTGGGTAGTTCTGTTAGTCTATTTCTTAATTACTGGCTAGGTGGAGGCGTTCAGCTGTGTGGATCATAACAAATTATAGATAATATTTCAAAAAATGGGAATTCCAGAACACTTAACTCTGCTCATATGGAACCTGTGCATAGAACTGTACGTGGAGACTTAAAAGAAATGGGAAGATTATGCACAAAAATTAAAGATATCTGTTAGATAATGGTAAATAAAAGTTGTTGTTATTGGGTGCAGTCGAGTCAATTCCCACTCATAGCAACTCTGTAGGTCAGAGGAAAACTGCCCCATGGGGTTTCTAAGGCTGTAATCTTTATGGGAACAGATCGCCAGATCTTTTCTCCCATGGAGTCTTTGGGTGGGCTCGAACCTCCAACCTTTTGGATACCAGGGCTCCTTCCAATAAAAGTAGACACGGAATGGTCTTTTCCATAACCTCATAGGCATGCAAAAGCTGGGCATGGAGTAGATAGGGCGTCGTCCCACTGACCCTGTGGTGTGTGTTTGCAGCGCCTGCATCGGGGCCCAGGACCCATACTGCGGCTGGGACGTGGCGCTGAAGAAGTGTACCAGCCTGGAGGAGAGCCTGAGCATGGCGCAGTGGGAGCAGAACGTCTCCGCATGTCCTGTAAGTGCCCGCTCTCCTGTTACCCCGGCCTCACGGTGCTGTGCCCATGCCTTCCCATGGTCACGGTGAGCCTTTCATTCATCTGTGTGTGCCCTACAAGTGCCCCAAGACCTTCACACAGGGGCGCAGCTCTCCTGTTACCCCAGCCCCACCGCACGGTGCCCCACACCTTCCTGTGGGTCACGGTGAGCCTCGCTGCAGATCTTCTGCGCTCTAACGCCCGTCAGCTCTGAGCTCGAGCAAGCACCTTGCAAGGTGCTGTTCATGAGCTCTCGGTCTGTATTGAAGAGAAATGTCTTGGGAGAGACGCTTGTGTCTTTATGGAGGATAACATCTCTGCGTCATTCTTGGGCCTTTGTCTCCAGAGCTTGGGTGAACTCTCCCACCCTTCGCAGCGTTGGTGAGTGAGGAATTTACGCCCACGAATTCTCCTGGGGGTATAAACCCAGACGCTGAGATACACAGTAGAGCTTTTAGAAGAACAGACTGAAGGGAATCACCACTGCCAGTCTTACGGGACCTCATCAGTGCGGCTCCGGGGCACGGAAAGTCTGTGAGAAGTGGCCCCGTGCCCCTTCCCACACTGGGCCCTGGGGAAAGAGGAGAAGGCCCCTGCTTCCCGATCCATGCTCTCTGAATCCAAGAAAAGCAGATTCCAAAGTTCCTGTTGGTAATCTGTGTGGGGCCTCACTCACGGGAACCAGTTTTTTATGTCTTTATAATCCTTATTCCACTAACTCCAAAACTTTCCTGTTCTCGGAGAACATGAGCCACAGCTATCAGCTTCCAGTTATTGAAAAGTTACCAAATCACTTTGTGGGCACATCACTGCTGGCCCCTGTGACGACCAGGTCTTTGGTATTTCTGCAAAACAGAGGTGCAGAGAGAAGCAGCGTGCTCACTGTTGGACATCATTGCTGTCTCGTGATGCGGTGGGGCGCCCTAGGCATCTGAGCTGCTCCGTCTCCAGTCAAGGACCCTGGTCTCCCTAGGATGTAACCATGAACCTGCAGAAGCCCGTCCTTCACAGTCTAAGCAGGAAAGTCAGGCAGTAGGCCATGTTGAAGGCTAGGATATTAACACCAGTATCATGTCCCTAATGTTGGGACAGTGCCTTTGGTGTCACCGGTCAGGCTGTGAACAGCTGGGAAGGGGTCAGCTGTTGGTCTTTCCTCTATTAAACTCCAGATCTCTGATTTTAGAAGAAAACTTCTCTGCAGCGTCTCTTGAAATTGGTTAGAAAAACAGCCACGTCTGTGGCAGTCTCTTCTCCTTGTTCAGTGACACACAAAGAGCAGAAAGCGTTCACCTCAAGTTCTGTGCAGCTAGAAAAAGTATACAGTGTCACATGCAGACTAGCTCTAAGTAGGCGCCGTGCCCATTAGAGGCATCAGCGATCTTCTGCAGACCCTTGCCCTGGACTGGAACACTGAAAAGGGCAGAAGGTGGCAGCAGCTGTCGTACGCGGTGGGAGTGCCCATCTGGGTCCCGGGCTTGGTTCAGTGGATGTCTGAGGGGTGCTGCTTATGGGAAGGCGACACACACCCACCCGCTGGGTTCATGACACATCCGTGTCTGGGACGTTTCTGCAGTCACAAATGGAGATGATGCAGTATATGTCTGAAGTGCCCGGAGGGTTGTCACTCAAGCGAACGCCTGCTGCTGGGGGACAGTGTCTGCTGTCGGATCTAGTGTCGTCAGAGGGTCCTGTGGTCCTGCCCTGAGGTCAGCGCCACCCCCTCCCACGTCTGTGCTTTGAAGATACAACCGTTATGTTCACCCAGAACGGACACGCGGTCCCTCATTTACTGTCAACGATCACACAGTGTTGTAGCTGCTGTCAAGTCACCCCCCCACCACTGAAGGCGACCCCACGCACGACAGAACAAAATGCTGCCAGTCCTGTCCCATCCCCATGAGCAGTTGCAGACTGGACTCCTTTCACTGGCTGATTTTTGGAAGTAGATCGCCAGGCCTTTCTTCCTAGTCTGTGTTCATCTGGAAGCTCTGCTGAAACCTCTTCAGCATCGTAGCACAAGCCTCCACTGACAGATGAGTGGTGGCTGCACAGCAGAGGTGCATTAGCCAGGAATCGAACCCGGGTCTCCCACGTGGAAGGTGGGATTCTACCACTGAACCACCAGTGTCCCCATAAAACACATGTAACAGGGTCTGTTTCTCTGACACACGGTGATTTCGTCGTATTGAAGTATCCATATTCTCTCACCCAGTGTATTTTGTCGTGTATCAAGATATATTTTTGATAAGAATTTGCAAAACCTCCAATAACAGAGAAAATTATGTCCCTTTGAGCAAAACACATAAAAGGAAACCATATATTCTGTTCTGATTCACATAAGCTACCATACGGAAAACAGACGCTAGCAAATCTCGTATGACCTATTACTTTTGTCACACATCCCTTTCTAAAAATCTATCTCTTAGAAGAAGATCAGCTGGATGAAAATTATTGGCTTTTATGCAGAGCAGTCTAGACTTAGTTATTTTTAAAAATTATTTTTAAATGTAATTTGCTTCTATGTTTTTTACTTTTGACTGAAATGAAAGAAGGGCTTGATTTTTTTTTTTTTTTTTGACAAATCTACGCTGTGTCCTCAAATCTGAGCTGTCATTAGTTATATAACAGACAACTGTTTTATGTGCTGCTAAGACAGACTAGGAAGAAAGGCCTGGTGATCTACTTCCAGAAATCAGCCAATGACAACCCCAGGGATCACACAGAACATTGTCCGATACAGTGCTAGAAGATGAGCCCTTAGGTGAGAAGGCACACAAAATTCACAGTGGTCGCAACAATGGCGTCCAACACACCAATGACTGTGAAGACAGCACAGGGCTGGACGACGCTGGTTCTGCTGTCCGCGGGGTCGCCCTGGGTCAGAGCCGAACCGACAGCAACTAAAACCAGCAACAACGGAAAGACACAGGTTGACCTGACGCCAGCTGAGTTCAAAGATGTTAAAATACCAAAACAATTTTACAAAGGCAACTTGTCATCGGCCAAATATTTTTCTATCCTTACTCATTTATCTTTAGTGCAAAGGAACTCAAGCTTTATCAGCTGGGCAATTTTCAAATAAGACTAAAGCATCATATGCCCCCTGTAAAAACCCAGGTTGAAGACTGAAAGAGGGAGCCTGTTACCGTGAGCTCAGGAGGAGTTCCAAGGAGTTGATGATGAGGAGGTCAGCCTCCATCTGTGGGTGAGACCCTCTGCTCCCCAGAGGTTCAAGCTGGAGATGGGAACCCCAGAAACCTTCCCAGGGACGTAGGGGCTTACAGAAGACTCCTTCTCCTCTCAAAGATCCCTGTGTAAAAATGGTCCAAGCTTGTGTTGTCCTGGAGAGAAGGAACAGTTTACTGACGTATTGATTCATGTTCTGTTTGCTTATAAAATTTGGGTGGAAGGCATTGCTCAGTCTAAGGGATGTGAAATGCTTCAGCAAGATCTAAATTGAGATAACTAGCGTGATTAGGATAATATATGTGCCTGCATAGCTTGTAATGTTTTACAAGAATAGTATAGTCTTAAGAGTCTACCTGGGCTTTATTCTTGCACAGATACCATCCCTGTTCTTTATGGGAGTATGATTACCAGTACCACATAACATACAATGAGCCCGTCTTCCAAAATAGAGTACGAAATAACTAGCAAAACACTCAGGCCAAATAAACACCCAAGATCCCCACAACGACGGGGTTCTTCCCCGTCTACTGCTTAAAGGGCACCTGTGGAGTGAATGGCAGTCCTGGGTGGTGCAAACGGTGAAAGTGCTCAGGTGCTAACCGAAAGGTTGGAGGTTCAAGTCCACCTTCGGAAGAAAAGCCTGATGATTTACTTTTGAAAAATGAGCAACTGAGAACCCTGTGGAGCACAGTTCTCCTCCGACACGGGGTTGCCAGGAACAGAGTCCTCTCGACGGCAGCTCGTTTAGAGTGTAAAGAGATGGTATTCATGGCCAAACCCAAAGCTCTGCGTTTAGCACTGGCAACAGCATAGGGCAGAGTCTGAAGGACGACAAGGGGCTCTAAAACTACAACCAGAAAGAAGCAGGACTTTGATCCAGTGTTTCTGATGTACTCACTGACCTACAGGATGGCGTCATCCCAGCTGTCAACGTCTCCTCAAAGCAGTGGCTGGTAGGTGGCCCAGTGGCCCAGTGATCACCCTGCACATAGTGGCCAAAGGGCAGGCGAGACCTTTTTCCTGAGCCTTGTCATGGAATCCACCGCCAGAGGAGAAGGGAAGAAGGGCCAATCGCAGGCGTGTACCATGTGCTCAGGGCCGTGTGAGGTAGCGTTATTGCAGGCGTGTACCATGTGCTCAGGGCCGTGTGAGGTAGTGTTATCACGGGCATGTACCGTGTGCTCAGGGCCGTGTGAGGTAGCATTCAGTGGGTGCTCATTTAATGTTCACAGAGACCCCAGCGATAGACATTGCTGCTTCCATTTTATAGATGGAAGAAGTGGGACTTGGGGACATTAAATAAAGGGCCCCTGCTCACCCGTCCTACCAGAGGCCACAAGGCAGCCTGGCTTAGTCCTCTTTGGCGCTGCCATCTTTCCTTTGTGTGTTCTGTTTATAGAGCTAGGCTTAGGCTTGGGGTGATACGCACACAGGTCGTAATGAGAGCCAGGTCTTCTGTCCCACATGTCCAGTATCCTCTTTTGTTTCAATCTCTAGCAAAAGCTACTCCCATGAAACTTTGAAAGTAAATAAAGGAAAGTCTTTTAACTTCTGAAAAAAATGTCCAAATGAAAAATACAAGACTTCAGCGTAGCCCTGCTGGCGTGACGTTGCACCGCAGTGAGAGTCTTAGCGTGTGGGCAGGGCGCTGTGCTTGGCGAGCGGAACACATCCTCGGCCAGTGGGCACTACAGAACTGAATATGGACGCATGGAACATGCGTCATGGCTTATGTTTACTACTGAAATTGTATCTCCTTTAGCTGTGGGAGATGCGTTATTTCCTAGGTGAAGAGAACTTTGCTTTTACCTAGCTGAGGGTAAAGTTACATGAAGCTAATTTCTTTGAGACTCTGGCCAAAGAAGGATGGAAGAACCCCAGTACAGAACAAAGTGGCCAGGAGCAGTCGTGGGCTCTGGACTCAGCTATTCTGGGCTGATTCTTGGATCTTTTGTAGCCTGTATGACTTTGGGCAAACAGCTTACCCTATCTGAGCCTCCATCTTCCTATATGTAAAGTGGAATCTAGATAGCAGGGATGTTGTGAATATCCAAGAAGATAACGCATGTACAGCCCGCGGCACAATACCTGGCGTGTACTAAACTACATGTTATGTTATGGTTTAATATTTAAAATTTAGTATGACAAAGCACGTACCTTTGGCAGAAACCCAGAAGGTAGCAAAATTGTAGAGATTTCATCTGGATGGGTATATTTCTGAAGTCTGTGTAAGAAGGACTAAGAAAATATAAATTTTTATGTTTGTATATTTATATTAAATATTTTATATAAGTATATAAATTTTTCATAAGGTTTTCACTGGCCAGTTTTTTACAGAAGTAGGTGGTTAAGCCCTGCTTCTTAGTCTGTCTTAGTCTGGAAGCTCTGCTGAAAGCTTTCTGCCATGGGTGACCCAGCTAGTACTTGATATACCAATGGCATAGCTTCCAGCATCACAGCAACCAACAAGACATCACAGTCCAATAAACTGACAGACAAGGGGATGTATTTAATTGCAGTATTGGAGCTGTAATATTGAAGGATTCTACAGGGAAAATATTCAACAACTTAGGAAGCATCAAAAGAAGATGGAAGGAATACACGTGGTCAGTGTACCAGAAAGAATTGGCGAGTGTTGAGATATGTCAGGAGGTAGCGTATGATCAGGAACCCATGGTACTGAAGAAAAAAGTCTAAGCTGCGCTGAAGGCACTGGTGGAAAACAAGGCTCCAGGAATTGAGGGAATGCCAACTGAGATGTTTCCACAAACAGAGGCAGCACTGGAAGCACTCACTCGTCTGTGCCAAGAAATTTGGAAGACAGCTGCCTGGCCAACCGACTGGAAGAGATCCATATTTATGCCTATTCCCAAGAAAGGTGATCCAATCAAATGTGGAAATTATCAAACAATATCATTAATATTACACACAAGGACAGTTTTGCTCAAGCTCATTCAAAAGCAGTTGCAGCAGTGTATCAACAGGGAACTGCCAGAAACTCAATCCAGATTCAGAAGAGGACGTGGAACCAGGGGTATCATTGCTGATGTCAGATGGATCCTGGCTGAAAGCAGAGAATACCAGAAAGATGTTTACCTGTGTTTTATTGACTATGCAAAGACGTTCAACTGTGTGGTTCATAACAAATATGGATGACATTGCGAAGAATGGGAATTCCAGAACACTTAACTGTGCTCATGGGGAACCTGTACGTAGATCAAGAGGCAGTCATTCAAACAGAACAAGGGGATACTTTGTGGTTTAAAGTCAGGAAAGGTGTCTGTCAGGGTTGTATCCTTTCACCATAATTATTAAATCTGTATGCTGAGCAAATCTGAGAAGCTTGACTATATGAAGAAGAATGTGGCATTAGGATTGGAGGGAGACTCTTTAACCTGCAATAAACAGATGACACAGCCTTGCTTGCTGAAAGCAAAGAGAACTTGTAGCACTTACTGAGGAAGATCAAAGACCACAGCCTTCAGTATGGATTACACCTTAACATAAAGAAAATAAAAATTCTCACAACTGAACCAATAAGCAACATTACAATAAACGGAGAGAAGATTGAAGTTGCCAAGGATTTCATTTTACTTGGATCCACAATCAATGCCCATGGAAGCAGCAGTCAAGGAATCAAATGAAATATTGCATTGGGCAAATCTGATGCAAAAGACCTTTTTAAACTGTTAAAAAGAAAAAATGTCACTTTGAGGACTAAGGTGCGCTTGACCCAAGCCATGGAGTTTTCAGTCGCTTCATACACGTGCAAGAGCTGGACGACAAATGAGGAAGAACAAAGAAGAATTGGTGGATTCCTTTGAATTATGGTGTTGGCAAAGAATATTGAGTATACCATGGACTGCCAGAAGAGCAAACAAATCTGCCTTGGAAGAAGTACAACCAGAATGCGCCTTAGAAGCGAGGATGATGAGACTTTGTCTCACGTACTATGGATGTGTTATCAGGAGGGATCAGTCCCTGAAGAAGGACATCATGCTTGGTGAAGTAGAGGGTCAGTGAAAAAGAGGAAAACAGTAACATGGGTTGACACACTGGCTGTAACAATGGGCTCAAACATAGCAACGATTTTGAGGATGGCACAGGACCAGGTAGTATTCCATTCTCTCGTGCATAGGGCTGCTATGAGTTGGAACTGATTCAATGGCACCTAACAACAACATATAAATTGTTAAATTATAAATTATATAGAAATTATTAAACGAAAAGGTAAAGCAGCAGAACCTGCACCCTCGTGCATGCATCTATTTTCTAGGCAGATTCTGGAACTAATAGTTAATGGTGATTCAGAGCGCCCTCGCCTGATGACCTGGGTGCTTCCCTGATTTGCAAGTTCCTAAACTCTGAAATTTAATAGAACCAGCTGAAAATACCGCCCCTTAAAGTCGTTTGCTCCCCCTCCCTTGTCAAAACATGAAGCCCAGGTTCATCTCCTGCAGAGGGTCATTGCTCTGGGATCTCCTGGGATGGCCCACGATAGTGGACAGCGCTGCCTGATGGCCAGGTCATTAGGGTCCTGCCCCCCTTCCTGCTTCTTCCCTGCCGCCGCTGCCTCCTCCTTCTCATCTTCCTCATTCCGTTTTCTTCTTTCTCTTCCTCCTCCTCTTCCTCGTTCTCTTCCTCCGCCTCCTCCGCCTCTTCCACCTCCTCCTATTCCTTTTCTTCCTCCTCCTCCTCATCCATTTTCACCTCTTCCAATGACCTCTGCTGCTTTTAAGCTGAAATACTTCTCGCACATCCTTCCCTAACTATAATACCAAAAAATTCCAAACGCATTCCAATTGTCTTGTGAGAGACCTGTCACCTGTTCTCTCTCTCACCGGTGGCCCTTTCTGACGTGCTGCCCTGCATCTGCTCCCAGACCAGGAACCTCACCGTGGACGGGCAGTTTGGCGCGTGGTCCCCGTGGGCGCCCTGCACACACACGGATGGCAGTGCCGTGGGCTCCTGCCTCTGCCGAATCCGCTCCTGCGACAGCCCGGCCCCACAGTGCGGTGGCTGGCCCTGCACTGGCCCCAGCATGGAGATCGCCAACTGCTCCAGGTGCGTCCCACAGAGCACCCAGGTGACCCCCATAGAGCACCAAGGTGACATCCGCAGAGTGCCCAGGTGACACGCCCAGGTGTTCAACCTAGACATGGAGAAGGCTGGGGAACCATACGTCACATGTGCCTTTCCTTTTCTGGAGGAGGTACAGGGAGCTCACCACTTAAAAATCACACCACCCATGAAAGGAGATTTTCAACTATTGATTAGATGATAATTCTAAACCTATTCATACATTTGTCATTGGACTGGGAAAAATATTTCTAACTGGCAGTATATCATTGGCTTGTCTGAGGAAAGGTCTCTGTTAAAATCTCTTTGTGGAATACATATGGTTAACGGTCCCTCACTGGTAAAGCATCGTGTTTGTTGCAAAGTGACCTAAACCAGTCCACTCTTCAAGTTGTCACTTTCTTTTTGACAACAGCAGTGACACATGACGGTTAGAAATAGCTGAGAGCTGTGGGCTTCTCCCTTCTGACCTGGCCGTTAGGTGGCGTGGGATAATGAGATAGCAAGTCTCAGGCCACATCTGGGCATGAGTACAAAACTATCACACGGCCTGTCCTTGTGAGTCGGTTGTCTTGGTTCTTCAGACCAAGAGAGCTCATTAGAACCCCTCCTGAGAGAGTGACCAAGACGGGGGGAGAGAGACATAATGAGACAATGAGAGAGAAGAGAGAGCGAGAGAGAGACGGATGGATTTTAGGGAATTATCTGCCTCCCTGTATACAACATGCTCCATATCCTGCAAACGGAATAGATCATAAAATGCCATGTTTAGTAAAAGGTTTAGGCAAGCATTTCCGAACAATTTTAGAAGCAGTGTTTTGCATCTTTTTAACCTAACAATTTTGTTCACATATAAAGAAACTTTGACAGTAAAGTGCTGTTCTATTTATGTTGAAGTTAATTTTTAAGTTTTTTATAAAGTTCAATAAATTACTTGGATACTTTTAAAGAATTACTGGTAGCAGGATGTAAGATATTAGCTAATTAGATTGATGGGAAACATAGAAGGATCTTAGTTTGTGATGATTTAGTTTAAGCAATGATAAAACAGCTTAATTATAATATCACACATGAAGTGATCACTATATATTTTTATTTATATCACTACTCTCAGAAAATAAAGTAGATGAAATGAAATATACATAGAATTTTCTCGGAAGAATTATTTGAAATTATTTTAGAAATTATTCATTCTAATTTTTGTTTATACCCAGAGCTTCAAGGGCATAGCTATGGAACCTTGGGTTTTAAAGGAATGTATAAAAGTAAAAATGCAAATAAATGAGTGGGTTTTTTTTCAGTGGAAATCTAAATCCCATGGATGAAGCTAACTGATATCCATGGAAATGCATATGTAATTTTAGAAGTAAAAAAATGTCCAAGTGACTGAGATGGTCTACCCAGAAGTTTAAAATGGATTTAACAGATATTTTAGCACTTAAAGTATTGTAAATGACCTAGGGTTCTTTTTAAGATAGTATTGGACCAAACTTCTAGGAAGATATTTAAATTATAAATATTCTGGATCAGACATTTTAAGAAAACAACACAATATTAAACCAAAAAAAAAAAATTTCTAGCTGTCCCTAGTGCTTTGTATGATATTTTTTATGCATATGCCTCATAATATTATTTATACTATAAATTAACGTATATAGACGTGAGATTTTCACTCCTTATTGATGTTCTTTACATCTTTGTCCGTTTGCAAGAAAATGGGTCAAAGATCTGAACATAAATATCCTTTCTTCATTGCTAATAAAGTTTGTTCTAAAGCTTTGCACGTTGCAGCATTATATACCCACGTGAATGCTGTCAGAGAGCTTTTCACTGACGTTAATCGATTTTTAAAGGCAGCATCGTGTATGGGTTCTAGGTGATTATTTGCTCCAAATGTGCATTTCTCATAGATTATAGCAGACAGAATGCAAGTCAGATGAAACTGTAGACTGGACAAGGATTCATCTCTAAATGCTGTTCAGTGAAATCGCATTATTTCTTCTTCCTTCGTGTCTTAGTTTCTATCATACCCCATCTTAAATCATTTGTAATGCATTTAGAAACATCATTCTCAAATTTCCCATCATGACTGTAGAATCAGACACCTGAAAAAAAGTGCAAAGCCACTGAGACCCACGTGGCCCAGCCCATGGGCTCCCCAAGGCCCGTTGTGGCCCACACCAGGTGGCCCACGTGGGAACACCGGAACTTGGGATGGGTACAGAGGTGGACGGCAGAGCCAGTGCTGACGGCATGCCCCCTTGCTCCCCCAGGAATGGCGGCTGGACCCCCTGGACTTCCTGGTCCCCCTGCAGCACCACCTGTGGGATCGGCTTCCAGGTGCGCCAACGGTCCTGCAGCAACCCCACACCGCGCCACGGGGGCCGGGTGTGCGTGGGGCAGAACCGCGAGGAGAGGTAGGTGCCGCCCATGTCCCCATCCGTGCGCGCCGCCCCCATCCTGCACCCTGGCTCTGGCAGCTGAGTCTGGGTCTAGCTTAGCTCATCTGTGACATCCCTTTCCGTCCACCTGAAGTGTCCTCGTCTCTGTCTGACATCTTTAATTTTGACTATAACTTCATGTTGAGCATCACCTGGCCCGTGGTGCCTGCATCCTCGGCGCAGGCAGGCAATTCCCAGCAGCCCAGATCCTGCGACTACATGCCCTGCGGTCTGGCTCCCTGGAGGCCCCAGAGAGCGAGTCCCGCTGGGAAGGAGGCTCTTGCTCTATCCAACTAGACCAAGCTCAAAGCCTTCCACTCCTAGTGCTGTTGGTCCAGGGACAATGGGTCAGATGAGGGAATTTTCCATCAAAACAAATTAGCAGCTGATGCATCTGGGAAGACATTCGGGATTTGGTTATACCTGTATTCGATAACTGGGCACCAGTCTATCACCAGATACCCTCAGGAAGCTACAGTATAACCCAACTCAGGGCTTCTTCTCCACATGTATTTTGAGCTTCCAGCATGGCATGGCAACATTCCAGCTCAGCTTTGGATTTAACTGTTGCTTTGTGTAGCATTAGACATTGGGCTTCAGCCTCATATAACCTACCGTTTTGATCATTGCGTCTTTCTTGCATATTTAAAGTGCATTCCCATTGATAATTAGTGGGAGAGAACCCAGGCAGGGTCCGTGAAAAAGAGGGAAACCCTCAATGAGATAAATTGGCACAGTGGCCACAACAGGGGACTCAAACATACCGATGATGGTGAAGATGGTACAGGACTAGGCAGTGTGTTGTTGGCATGACATGAGTCAGAGCCAACCTGATGGCACCTAACATCATCAACAACATAACATCCTTATTCTGCCATACTGCCTATACTTCTTGTTGTATTGATCCATGGAAAAGAAAATAGCTTTCCATACTTCTTTATTAAATTGCATTGAGGCTTGTATCAGAGTCCCTGGGTGGTGCAAACAGTTAATGCACTTGTTTACTAATGGAAAGGTTAGATATTTGAGTCCTTCCAGAGGTGCCTCGGAAGAAAGGCCTGGTGATCTTCTTCTGAAAAACCCACCATTGAAACCCCTGTGGAGCTCAGTTCTATTCCGACACTCATGGAATTGTCATGAGTTGGAGTCGACTCAATGGCCACTTTTAAGGCTTGTATCAGGTGACGTAGGTTCAGTGAGAGGCTCTTATACAAATACTGTACACAGTTACTTTCTATGTGATTGATATTTCAGTTGATAGACACAGGCTTACTCTATAGATGGTTTGCTACTATGTATTTGTTACAACCTGCAGAGAACCCGGGAAACTCATCTCTTTCTTTATTCACTGTATTTCCAAATTGCCATGAAGACTTCATCCCTTTGGACTAAGAGAGAATGAAAGATGACTTTACAAAGCAGGACTGTCATGTTTGAAGGGGTCCCCGGAGATGGTTCTGGGCTGGTCTGTCATTTTCAATTTCACACCAGTTGATAAGTGGGAAAGCCAATTATGCAGAGTCATCTCCCTGCTGTTTCCAAGCCTTGTAAGACTGAAGTCTGGTTCGACCTTTTAAAATGCTCTAAAGAGTCTCATAATGAGCTCACTCAGGCAAAGTCACCTTCATTTGCTCGAAGCCGCACCTGGAAGCAGGGCACTCCCGCCCACCCAACACCTGTTATCACCTTCCCCAGGTGTGCACACAGGTAGGAGGAAGCCGCCTAACGCCACGATTACATGTGCATGTTCTGTGTCCGCGTTTGATGGTGAGGAAAGCTGTCTCTTTAGGAAAAGATCAGGGCTGTTCACATACTTGGCCGACTTACATTTATAAAGCTCCTTTTTTACAGGAGAAGCATTCATTTGGGTTAGAAGATGGTTTGTTCAGGGGAGAAAGTGTTGAATTTAAGTAATAAATAGGCGCTAATGAGGTGGACTGTAGAACAGAGACTGTGGGAGATTTTTACACAATCAGCGCCTCCCTAGAGCGACCTTTCTGGGGGCTAGGAAGAGGTTGCTGACGAGAAAAACCAAACACGTGACGTCTCTGTCGGTTCACAAGCACAAGTTTCTAGATGTCTTTCCAGTATTCTGCAGGGAGGTTCCTGCTGATGACTAATTAAAAGGAGGAGCCAGCCTGATTGTGACAGTGGAGATATTTGAGAGCTGGAGTCAAGGTTCAAGGAATCCCTGGGCTCCACGGGAGGGTCCAGGAGAACCGGAGCTGAGGGTACAGAGTCCTTCGTAAAATCACCTCATGGATCATAAACACCATCAACCCTGCAGCGCTCCTGGGTGGCCACAAGTCAGTGAACCAATTCTCCCAAAAAGCACCTGAGTAATAGTGGGATAAAAGGTAGCCAGTTTTCATTTGAGACAAATTCTCCAAAGTATCAAGTAATTCAGTGGGAACTTGGTTGCAACAAAAATCTCAGATACATTTGCTTTTTTTTTTAAGTAACAGATAAAGAAATTATCTAACTTACTTTTTGCATATACTTTAAAAGATACAGACACTTTGTTTTTCTGTTCTAAAAATTCCTCAAAAGAGATTTTCTTGAGTAGCAGAAACCGAGTAGAAGCACCGATTATGGAAGATGCCGATCAGGAGGAAATGGAAGTGTGTAATTGTGAACAAAATGCAAATTCTGGTGTCCGTCTTAGTCAGGGCTCTCCAGAGAAAGAACCAGTCAGACACACACACACACAAGTAAGGAAGTGTTATCACATGTTTATGCAAATAATGTGTGAATAATGTGCCAGCCGAGCCTTCTACCGGCGAGATATTTTCCTATGAGTGCTATGCTAGTGTTTTTTTTCATGTAAAAATATATACCACAGACTGCCGGAAGAGCGAACAAATCGTATTGGAAGAAGTACAGCAAGAATTTTCCTTAGATGCAAGGATGGCGAGACTTTGTCTTATGTACTTTGGACACGTTATCAGGAGGGATCAGTCCTGGAGAAGGACTTGGTAAAGTAGAGGGTCAGTGAAAAAGAGGAAGACCCTCAAGGAGATGGATTGACACAGTGGCTGCAAGAATGGCTCAAGCATAACAATGATTGTGAGGATGGCGCAGGACCGGGCAGTGTTTCGTTCTGTTTTACAGAGGGTCACTATTTTAGTCATCTAGTGCTGCTATGACAGAAATACCACGAGTGGATGGCTTTAACAAAAAGAAGTTGATTCTCTCATAGTCTAGGAGGCTACAAGTCCAAATTCAGGGGCATCAGCTCCAGGGGAAGCCTTTCTCTCTCTGTC